ACAACACTTAATGATTCACCACATTTACACACATGACAAATACGAGCTCTCTGACACAAACACATTCACGTCTCTTACAGTTTGCTGGTATTTTATTGGTGGGAACATGTTGTGTTTGGACATGACGGCTTTTCCCTGCAGAGGAAAATAACCACCATCAAATGAAAACCAGCCCGAATACAAGCAGCGGCTCATGTTAGTTCACACAGGCGACAGAGCTCACGTCAGAAAACCTTAAACACTTTTGAAAAGGAAATTGTGATTGTGATTGTGTCACTGTTACGTGTTTGTAAGGCTGCTGAAACAAAGCCAACCAAACTACGTCGTCATGCTTCTGAAAGGCAACAGAGATCATGAGTGGGCACCATCACCACAGTCGCGCCTGTGACACCTGCTGCTGCAACACAAAGTGTTGCAATCAAATATTGTGCCATCGACAATGATACAGCTGTGCAGTTTCTGTAGGGTCTGCAGCCGTGACACTGACCCCACCCGAAAGTGAGAAGACGGAGAGAAAATGTGCACAGACGACCAGGATAACTTATTCTGAATGCAAATATCCAGACAAACGTGTCCTTTTAACCCTCCGGCTCACTACAATTATGTGAGAATAGGGCGGGGCATTCAGGGAATTCAGAGCAGTGGGTGCGTCACGTGTCACGTGGTCCAGTCTATGCAAACCTCACTTAAACCAAACATGTTTCCGGTCATGACGAAGAATCTTATGGAGACCGTTTCGTGTTGTTCTTGTTCGCAGAAAGAGCAGCTGCTCAGACCTGAAACCTGGACAGTGGCAGAGGAATCGTTTGCAAGAACACCTTTAACAGCACAGCAGAGGCCTGAAAACAGTGGGAGGAGATTATACAAGCTCAACTTGTTCTACAACTGTCATAAAAGCCACAGCACGCCTTTTCTAGTTGGAGCTTAGGTGCTCTTTGTTAATATTCATTCTGTTCTTGAGGTCAGTAACTTGCCCAAAGATACTTGACATGCAGACTGAGTGAGCCAGGGATCGAACCACCGCTGACCTGCTCGACCTCTGAACCCTCCGATGTTACT